ATCATGTGTCGTTGATGGATTGCGTCATTTCTAAGAAATATGATGCCCAACGAGTCCGTACTTCATCAATCTCTTCTGATGAGAATGGTTCCGGATTGGCGAATCGCTACAAATTAAATAAGAAGGTTATTAAAAAATATTACATCTTGAGCAAACCTATTGAATGTAAATAAAATAATAATGTACCTCATCCCACATTTCAAGAATTACCGCCGAAACAATATTCAACATATGCAACATTACATAATAACCACATTCATAACTCCTAACTTGCATCCGAGACTACAAATTAGAACAACATACTTAGTAATCAGAAATTACGGTATTCGACTTGGTGCTACACAAATGAAAGTAAAAATAACATACAAAGTAAAGTAGTAAGTATTTACCATAGGAATAATCCATTTCACTCTTCCCTTTCTTGAGTTGAGTCTACGGCTTGCCTCCATTGCACTATGTAATTTATAATATTATATATATATATAATAATTTATTTATGTAATTAAGATATTAAAACGGAATGTACAAAATACTTACGCATCAATAATATTTTTGAATTGTCTATTTGGCTTATTCCCCAAAGAACACAAGAAGACAATAGTGTTTTGGATAGGAGAGAGAATAAAGAGCTGCCAGTGATTCCTGTATACATAAAAAAAAGGATAAAAGACAAACAATAATTTTTTTTTAAAAAATAATACATAAAAAATATTTACTATAGTGTACACTTCTTACTCTAACATCTAAAAGAAAATCTTACTCTAACAACTTATCCATCTAAGGAAACACTTGTAGCAAAGAATGCATTACCTGCTAGTTCCTCTTAGCCAAGGAGTTATATCAAGTATCAACTTTGCAATATTTCTCTTGCATCATTAAAGTGACCCTTTTGGAATAACAATCTGAAAAGGTGTAGCTCCCTAGCCCCTCCCCATCCCACCAGCCCCCTCCCCATCTCCCCAGCCCCCTCCCCAACCCACCAGCCCCTTTCTCATCTCTCCATCCCACTCCCCAGCTCCCCAGCCCCCTCCTAGCTCCCCAGCCACCTCCCCTTTGTAGTCACCACTTCAGAATCACATTCATCGCTCTTAACTTTGTATCGTGACACTCCACAAGTAGGGCATTTGTGCAGGTCTTCATACTCTTTTCGATAGAGTATACAGTCATTAGGACATGCATGTATTTTCTTGTACTCCATACCCATCGGACACAAGATCTTCTTTGCCTCGTAATTCTGGTCAGGTAATGTGTTACCTTCTGGTAGCATGTCTTTTAATAACTGGAGCAACTCAGTGAAACTCTTATCAGTCCAACCATTTGTTGCTTTGATATTGAAAAGTTTTAACACTGTTGTCAACCGTGTGAACTTAGTGCAACCCGGATACAATGGGAACTCAGGGTCAGTACACAACTTATCATATACATGCGCTCGTGCGAATGACTCAACACCGAAATCACGTATCATGTCATCCATATGATCATACGTATCTCCACGAACATCCTCCCTGTGTGAAGACATGCTTGGCATTTCAACTGACTCACCATGCCTAATCCACTTTGTGTAGCTTTTACAAAATCCATCACAAATAAGATGCTCTCGTATAAGCTCAACATGCAGTTGTCGCAAGTTTATGCATTTAACACATGGACAATAAAATTTATTATTACTGTCAGGAAGATTTTTCTGGGCAAACTAGAAACTCTTGCACTCCATTTTCATACTCAGCACTAGTCCGTCTAGAATTTATCCAGCTACGATCCATAATCACAGTGCCTTCTGTAACATATTCAATCAAACATATCATTTAAAATTTATATGAGATGATGACTTAAACGGTCGAGTCACTTTGTCCCACCAGCCCCCTCCCCATCCCACCAGCCCCTCCCCAGCTCCCCAGCCCCCTCCCCATCCCACCAGCCCCCTCCCCACCTCCCCAGCCCCCTCCTCATCCCACCAGCCCCCTCCCCAGCCCCCTCCCCAACTCCCCATCCCCCTCCCCAGCTCCCCAGCCCCCTCCCATCCTACCAGCCCCCTCCCCCAGCTCCCCAGCCCCCTCCCTATTATTCAGACTGACGATTCCATCCATAACAATTGTATTGCCGTTTTCTGTACAAGGTACATAATTTACCTTAGTTATTAGTAAACTAAATGACAATCCTTTTCCTCATCACCACCCTTCTCAAATTTATGAACTCCAAGCCTTGCAGACTTGACATTAGGCTCCATGTCAATTGTCAACTAAACATCCCTTTTTTCTAATTAACGGGTAATCCTAGTAAAACCATTAAATTGTATGTCCATGTTACTACTTCTTAATTGACTCTCACCGACATACATTTTACTAAACTATGAAGTTAGCATTCTAAAAAAAGATTAAACTGGTTTTGTTCAAATTATGAAGTATTCAATACCACAATAAGCTTTCTAATTATTGAAATATGAAGTATTCATTCCAGAATTATGAAGTATTCAATCCCTAACATTCCAACGGCAGATTTCAGACATTTAGTTTCAAATATAGCAACAGAATCATGGTAAAAATAGTTTAAAAAACCAATAAAATTATACCTTTAGAGAAAATAGCCAACTAACCAAAGTCCGCTCGCTCAAAGATAGGCCGAAGAGGAAGGTTCGTCGACTCGAACTCGAAAGCCGCTGCTGGAACCCTGTCTGCTCGAACCCTTCTGTTGTCTGCTCGAACGCCGCCGTCCGCAGTCCGCTTCCTCTCGAACGCCGCCGTCCGCAGTCCGCTTCCTCTCGAACGCCGCCGTCCGCAGTCCAATCGAGCGTCGTTCGCTTCCGTCTCTCGAAGTCCGTCTGAAGTCCGTCGAAGTCCGTCGAAGTCCGTCGAAGTTCGTCGAAGTCCGGCCTTCCGTCTCTCTCGAACGTCTCTCCGAAGTCCAGTCCGGCCTTCCGTCTCTCTCGAACGTCTCTCCGAACATCTCTCTCAAACGTCTCTCCGAAGGCTAGGTCTGAAATCGGTTAAGTGAAATGGGTTAAGCGAAATTTTTTAAAATAATCCAGATCGGGTAAAAGCATGTGAAATAAGAACCGATCTAAAATAAAGTTTCATTAATTATGAATATTACCCCGTTTTTTTCACATCGGTTGCAATTATAACCGATTTAGATTATTTCTTAAAATTTAAAAAAGTACCCCCGTTTTGGTGTTTCACATGGGTTATAACTGCAACCTGCTATGTAAAAACATTTATAAAAATTATAAAAATGACCCCATGTTAGTATTCTACATGTGTTTTAAAATAACACATGTAGAAAAGGAGATGGAAAAAGCCTTTTTTGTACTAGTGATACCAAATTTTAGCTAAATATTCAATCAGGAGGGCGGCCAAATTAATTTTTGAAGATAACTGCGCAGTTAGGTAGCGCAGTATATTTCAGAAAATCATTTGATTGCCTTCTCGATTACATTTTTATCTGAAATTTGGTATCGGTAAAACTAGACTTAATGAAGAAGATTCTCAAAAAAAAATCATCAAAAAATTCCACCGGAAACCGCCTCAAATGGCGACAGCCGGACAAAGCCTCCTGTAAAAGGGCTTATTTGCACTTTTTATGAAAGTTCGAGGGCTTATTTGATAGTTCTCCCTAAAGAATATTCGAGAATAATTTTCTATTTGCATATGAAGCCGTTAGCACTTGAATTTACAAAGTTTATATCTAAATAATAATAAAAACATTAATATATTAAAGGAAGAAAATCACATTCGGTCCCACCAAAAATAAAAATTCTTGTTTCCCGATGATGTGGTGCACGTTGAGAGTTTTTTTAACCTGTTATAACTTTTTTATACGCCGATTGTTACAAAAGTATATCAAAATTCATAACGTTTTATTAACTTTCATATTACACCAATATTGGATACATAAAAATAAAATAATAATTTGGAAATATTGCAGAAACAAATTATAGCCCAAAAGTGCCAACTTTATTTATATATGCACCAATACTGCATACATAAAACATGTCAAAAAAAATTTATATAACTTTCGGAAACTTCCCAAAATGGGAATAAAATAGTAAGAGCCTGTCAGGTGACATTGTTTTCGGCTTATCAGGCTTCTTAGCCACCTTTTTCACCAAACACATAACTTTTGATTACGTGTGCTGAATTTTATAATAATAAGAAAAAGTAAAGTTGGATTTAGTTTTCCGTCTGTATTGACTGAAGTTACTGTAGAGGATTATTTTAATTATTATTTCAAATAATATATTCTTTATTTTATTAATAAAATATATTTTAAATATAATTGTTCTCATAAAACAACAGAATTAGCCAATCCAATCAGTTCAATCATAACTTCATAAATTTCAGCAGAATCAGCCAATATAGCCTATTTGGGTATTACTAAACGGGCTCTAACAAAGTTTCTAACTAGGACTACAAGTTTATTATTTCCTAAAATAAGATATCCTCTTATACTTTTTCTAGTAATTACTCCAAATAGGACAAAAACTCAAAATAGGACTTACTATGTTTTTCTTTTCAAAATAGGACCATATTAGCCCTATTGGAAACATACCTATTTTTTTATTCCATTCTTACCCTTCCTTTAAATATGAGTTAATTAAATGTTTAATTCATAATAAATTCGAAAAAAAATCAAAATTTCGTAGAAAAATAATTAAAAAATTTATAAAAAAAATTATAAAATTTTTATATATTTATTTTTTAAAAAAATTAATAAAAAATAGTAAAAGTCCATAAAAAATTTAAAAACAATATGGATGCCTTTCCCACCGCCTGTATTAATAATAATAATAACAATAATAATAATAATAATATTAATATTAATATTATTATTAATAATAATAATAATAATAATAATAATAATAATAATAGTAATAATAGTAATAATAGTAATAATAATAGTAATAATAGTAATAATAGTAATAATAATAATAATAATAATAATAATAATAATACTAATAATAATAATAATAATAATAATAATAATAATAATAATAATAATAATAATAATAACAATAATAATAATAATAATAATAAATGTATACATAGGCAATTATTAGGGTAATATATATGGTAAGTTACCTTATTTTCCATGTATATGAAGGCAATCATTGGGGTAACAATACATGATCCTAAGTTACTTAATATATAGAAGACTAACAATTATTATAATAATTAGTACACATAGCATTACCGAACTCAAGAATATTACATGATTTGTATTCTTGTTCTTAGTATGTTTTGCCATAAAGTCAACTAGATCTTCAATGCATTTGTCATTTGACTTTGTATCTCCAAAGATCAAACTTATCCTTCGGGCATTCTCTCGAACCTTCTTTCCCCCCTCACTCTCAAGCATCACGAACCTTACAGAGTGAGCCACCGAGTTACTCGTGAACGTCCCGTCTTCTTCATCTCTTGGAACTTCAATGCCGACCTGGTAGTCCTCCATAACACGAGCAGTAATCCCTTGGTCAAACAAGAAGGGAAGCATGATTAAAGGGTGAACAAAGGTAATTCCCTCGCGACGGAAAGGTGCTGCCCCAAAAATACACCCGGAAAAGAGCAATCGCTGAGGGAATCATCTCCGAAAAGGGCTCCACCAAAAAATATCCAAGGATGGGGAGGGTAGTCGAGGAAGACGCCGCACGACTCAAGGAGGAATATCTCTCCCGGGGAATAGTTAAGGTACTCTCCATCTCCTCTGGTGATATTACTCGAAAAACCTCTGATTTTACTGAGCTTATTTCGTTCCAAAAATGGGAAACCTTGTTTGATTCCCAGAATTGCCCCTCTGTGTTTCCTGAACTCATCTCAGATTTTTTGGCTAATCTTATTATCAAAGACAGTTTCTTATCCTCTAAGGTACAAGGCACAAAAATTCTGTTAAATGTGAGTGATCTAGGTCAAATATTGGGTGTTCCATGTACTGGTATATGCCAATATAACAAAACCGAGTGGCCCCTAACCAACACCTCTCAAACAGTTGCACTGGAATATTTTAACCCAACCACTTCCGAATCCTCTCTTCATGTTGCGAGCCTTGCCCCGATTCCCAAACTACTGTTTTACTTTGTTCATCACAACTTGATTCCTAGGCTAGAAGGGAGATTCACACCCTCTAGAGTTGAACTGGCATATATGTACCTTTTAGCCAACAAAGTTCCTATCAACCTTCCTGGATTGATGATGGCCCATCTAAGTTCTATCATCAGTACCTCATCCCGAAGGATTGGGATTCCATATGCCCCACTACTCACCAAAATATTTCTATCTAAGGGCATTACTCTAGACAAATTCTCCTCTGAAGAAGCTTGCAAGGTCCTGGACAAGAGATGTCTCAGCAATCTAGGACTAATTATATCAAATTCTCACCTTCTTCCTAAACCAACAGATCCCTCTTCTTCAGAACAAAAACCCAGACCCAAACCAACTCCTGTTCCTTCCGTCGACCCAATGATGGTGGTACCCCCAATCACTGACCGCATAGATCTCCTGGAACGTTATATTCAACACCAATTTGCTTCCCTTTCAGACTCCATCTCTGCATTGGCAAAAAAGGTGGACACACTGGCTGATACAACCAATGCTATTCGGAATGATTTCCAATCCTTCAAACAGGAAGTGGCGGAGCGGCTCTGTGAATCTGGCTCGACTAATCGAAGAATAATTTATTCTTCTGAGGATGATTAAACATTTCTTTTATGGGGGAGGGTTTTTGCTACATTAACATCTTTAACAAGCTGTCCTACTTTGAAATTTTACTTTGCACTGTTTTGGTTATTTTCTGTTTCCTTTTGGTTGATGCCAAAAGGGGGAAATAATCAGGTGCCTGCTTATTTTGCTACATAAAAACACCGACTGTTACTAATCTGCAGGGACACCTTTATTATGGCACCTAATGTTTGTCATCAACAAAAAGGGGGAATTTGTTGAATATGTTGTTTTGTTGATGACTAACCATGTAGGTGGAATGGCGGACAGAACTGCTCTCAGTTCTATTAGGAACGAAACTTAGAACTATACTTAGTTCTGATCTATATGACTGATTGTTGTGCATAATGATTAAATTAATATGTGCCTGCATGATAATACCTCATCTACGTGCCTAGATTGATCATGCATATTCTTAATGTACGTGGCACAATTTAAATATCTTTCCATGTATGACTAAGCACTCACCTTTAGGAGTTGGACTATATAGCTTTATAGCTTATGGAAAGAATCATTGTTTATGCTACATAAATATCCTGCATAAATTGACCGTAGCATATTTGGATCCACTAAGTAAATATTTCCTTATCACTTAATGTTAAATATTTTGGAAAGTATCTTGGCTTGCATGATCTGTAGCACCTTATTTGAATATCTTACTTATATGATCGTTACGTATTCTCCTTATATGTGATGATATATATATTCATGTGGAAATATCATTGCAATACGTAATATTCTCCATATCTGTTTTGTTATTGAGTGATTTACTCATAGTATGCACGTATCCACTTCCTTCCATATATATATGGTTGACCGAGGATCACCATATTTGTGAGCCGGAAGATCTTTGAATAAAAGGAAAGAAGAGGCTACGGATGCTATATATATTGGACTAAAGACCAGATGAAAGGGTGTGCTTGACCAAGCTTCTATTGAGAAATATACACAAGAATATCTACTAAGTCCAAGGCACCTGAACCTGCTCACGGAGTTCCAAACAGAGTTTCCTTTTCCTTTCTTCATATTGTAATTGGGTTTTTGAGGATTGACTAAGTGTAGCATCCTCGGGTCAATTAGTGTGTTGTGAGAGCTTTGTTGTAAAGCTGAGAGGCTCTCTACCCACAAGGTAGAGAAGCATAACTCTTCCTAGAGAGGATAGAGTTGGGGTGGCTCAAGGGTAGACTAGGAGAGTTTCCCTTGTAATCATTCAAAGGCTTTTTAGTGAAGTTGTTCAAATTCCTCCGAGGGAGGTCGAGGTTTTTTAATCCCTTTGAGCCAAGGGATTTTTCCTCGTTAAATCCTTGTGCACTTTATTATTTCGTAATTCCCTGAACCCCACACTAGAACTGTGCGAAAAACTGCCACGGTTCCACACACACAATTCACCCCCCCCCCCCCCCCCCCCCCCTCTTGTGTTGCTAACCGTTTCATCAGTTACTGTAGAGGATTATTTTAATTATTATTTGAAATAATATATTCTTTATTTTATTAATAAAATATATTTTAAATATAATTGTTCTCATAAAACAACAGAATTAGCCAATCCAATCAGTTCAATCATAACTTCATAAATTTCAGCAGAATCAGCCAATATAGCCTATGTGGGTATTACTAAACGGGCTCTAACAAAGTTTCTAACTAGGACTACAAGTTTATTATTTCCTAAAATAAGATATCCTCTTATACTTTTTCTAGTAATTACTCCAAATAGGACAAAAACTCAAAATAGGACTTACTATGTTTTTCTTTTCAAAATAGGACCATATTAGCCCTATTGGAAACATACCTATTTTTTTATTCCATTCTTACCCTTCCTTTAAATATGAGTTAATTAAATGTTTAATTCATAATAAATTCGAAAAAAAATCAAAATTTCGTAGAAAAATAATTAAAAAATTTATAAAAGAAATTATAAAATTTTTTATTTATTTATTTTTTAAAAAAATTAATAAAGAATAGTAAAACTCCATAAAAAATTTAAAAAAAATATGGATGCCTTTCCCACCGCCTGTATTATTATTATTATTATTATTATTATTATTAATAATAATAATAATAATAATAATAATAATAATAATAATAATAATAATAATAATAACAATAATAATAATAATAATAATAAATGTATACATAGGCAATTATTAGGGTAATATATATGGTAAGTTACCTTATTTTCCATGTATATGAAGGCAATCATTGGGGTAACAATACATGATCCTAAGTTACTTAATATATAGAAGACTAACAATTATTATAATAATTAGTACACATAGCATTACCGAACTCAAGAATATTACATGATTTGTATTCTTGTTCTTAGTATGTTTTGCCATAAAGTCAACTAGATCTTCAATGCATTTGTCATTTGACTTTGTATCTCCAAAGATCAAACTTATCCTTCGGGCATTCTCTCGAACCTTCTTTCCCTCCTCACTCTCAAGCATCACGAACCTTACAGAGTGAGCCACCGAGTTACTCGTGAACGTCCCGTCTTCTTCATCTCTTGGAACTTCAATGCCGACCTGGTAGTCCTCCATAACACGAGCAGTAATCCCTTGGTCAAACAAGAAGGGAAGCATGATTAAAGGGTGACCCAAGGTAATTCCCTCAACGACAGAACTCCAACCACAATGAGTCAAAAACCCGCCGATAGAGACGTGATTCAGTATGCCCTTCTGAGGTGCCCATGACTTCCACACTACTCCCCGTTTTTTGACCCTGTCTTCGAACCCATCCGGCAAGCCCAACGATGAGTGGTTCCCTCGCGGAGTCCGCAGAGTCCAAAAGAATGGAACCCCGCTCTTTTCCAACCCACGAGCCAACTCTGAGATTTGACCCGGTCCGACAACCACCTCGCTCCCGAGTGCCACGTAGACCACAGAGCATTTTTTGTGTCCATCTAGCCACTGTTTAATTGAAAACCAGGCTTCGTTTTTGTCAAGATCATCAGTAAGATGAACCGTTGGCGGCATTAACCCTGTCGGAAGTACTGGCCGGCCACGGTTAGTCGTCTTCAGCACATTAAGCCACTTTGGTTCGAAGTTGTTATTGTGTCGGGAGATGAGTAGGTCTGAACCTGTCTTCACAGCAATAAGCCTGTCCATATCTGTTTTAGCAGACACATTCGGAGGCGAGCTGAGAATCCATTTTGCCTCGTACCTATATATAATTGTTATGTAGCATACAAATTAAAAGATTATTAATTATCATATATATACTTCGATCCTCTGTAGCTAGTTTAATTCTGAATATATAACTGTTACCGGCGGAATCGAGCCTTTGTCTCAAAGGTAATGCTCTTTGGGCGTGCTAAGAAGTCTTCTATCTTCGGCGGTGAGGACATACTCATCATGAATTCGTCGGAGAAGAAAGCCGTGAACCAGGGGCTAGTGGTGATGAAGAAACACCGAGAAATCCCGAGCCTGGCAGCAACAGGCGGGAGCCAGTACTGGGCGACATCGAAGATGATCCAATCAGGGGATGTTCTCTCCAAGAAACGAGTCACCTCTATTTCCATGCCATCCATGGCTTCTTTGAGGTAAGGCATCTCCTCCTGTTGAATGTCCATTGTGGCCTCCGCGTTCGCCGACGACAGCCCATCGACGCGAGGGAGCGGGATCTTGACCATGGTTATGGAGGATGCGAGGTCGGGTGGGGGGAGAGGAAGGCGATCTATGTTTCGAGGAGTGGAAATGAAGGAGATTTTGTGACCCTTTGCTGCTATGGACTTGGAGAGCTCCAGGAATGGGGTCATGTGCCCAAAAGCAAGCCATGGAAACACAACTATATGAAGCTCTTTCTT